GGTCTTTAATTTGAACTTATAATTATAAGTGTATTTTACTATTTATTATTAGTTATTATATCAAGTTCAGTTGAAAGTGATTTAAAATGACAAATACAGGGAAAACAAGAAATAGCTTTGGAAAATTGATCATCTTATATTTTAATTTAGATCATATTAAAAAACGAAATTTTATTTCATCTCTGGATTTTAACTGACTATAGACAATAAGGATTTACTAACAACTAAATTGAATAACAGCTTAATTGATACTCAAGAGAATGCTCTGAGTATGATCAAATTTTAAAAACGAGACAGTCTATTGACCGAAAAGGTGATAATAATAGGATTCATCAACCGTGTTCAAAGTCAGGATTTCGTAAATTAATGACCTTGTTGGCAAATGTTACCTATCATAAGTTGCTGACTTTTTTGGCTGACTTGTTTCACACCTATTTTTGAATATCTGTTTTTAGACTGAATTCGACTACGGAATGTCCCGTCTACCTTGTCAATACATATAGGGTTCATGGCTGGCGTAATCGGTCAACAGGGGATGCTTACTCCTCCTAAGCACCTCATCCCACCTCTGGAATTTCCAGGGATGCGTGTTCATACCCTCTTCAATGTTTTGTATGTTTTTTTATTTTTGAGATTGGTGACTGTTCGATCGATATCTCCACCCTTTTCATGAAGTAGTGCAACGTTTTATCACATGAATTTTATGTCCAATTTCGGGTATTCTTTATAATGGCAATCAGTATGAGGGAATTGTCGACCTCTATATATTCGTACAATTAAGAAATCCACAAGTTTAATTTGCTTCTATCGAGGGGGAAAATGAGTTTTTATTTAGCATTAGATAAAAAATCGAAATGGAATAAGAGAGATGTATAGGCCTTTATAACAAGTAATTCTTTGTGTAAAGTAAAATAAAATCGAAACAAAACTACCAGAAAAGCTCGTAAACGAACATAAATTTTTTTGTCATTGCAATTCTTCAGATAAATCTATAAATTTTATTTTGAATACAAATGTAAGTACAAATTTAAGGTAAATTAACACTTATAAAAAATGCACATTTAAAGCAAATTTATAATATCTGAAGCACAGATTAACTCGATAGATTCCTCCAAATTTTCGAGACAGAACTTTTAGTCTTTCAGATTTCATTATAATATCAATATAAATATTTTAAAAAGTATAAATATTTATAATGCCCCTAAAACGGTTGCTTATACTTTAGTTCTTAAAGTACTATTCTTTATGATGTAAACCAGTATATCATATCAATAAGATAATTGGCACATGGGAACGTCATTAGTTATATTTCCTCCTCGTTTAAAGTACAAAAAATCCATCATACATATGTAGCAATCTGGTCTATTTCTTGAGAAACATTTTTTCGAGATAGAATATTTATCAATGGCACTTGAGCACATTTGTTGTTGTCATCATCCGATGTTCGATTGCAAAGAAAAATCTTGAAAAAATTCCCAAGAGCTCTTCTGTAATTTACACTCCATTTAACGTAATAAACAAAATTAAGACAGAATGAGAGGTAGTATATCATTTGACAAATCTGGACAATTGCCCAGCTATCTGGCGAGGGAGGTTCTTGCTGATTCTTCATGGACAAAACGATGGATCGAATTTTGTTCACACAAGATGGAACAGATAACACCATATAGGACGATCCTATGGCTAATAAAACCCGTGTAATTCTGGTCAGAGACTCGTTTCTGTTTCCTCTAGATTTATGCTTATGAGTTCTTGGATGGGTCATTGTACACCCCGGCTTACATGGAACTCGAAGTAAAATATGCTTAAGATAAACAGCACCCAAAAAGAAAGCCATAGTTATAAATGGAACGGCAAGTGTGATAATGATATCGATGTAGGTAAAGACATGTAGTGTTTCCTGATAATCTTTTCCGATATCACAATAAATCATTCCGTTCTCATTCTGCAGTTTTGTTGTCCACAAGGCAAATGAATACAAGAGAATAGCCGTGACTGCAAGTGACGTCACTATGACCCTTGCTTTGTAAACGGTGCAGACGATAACAGCATAACGAAGGTTAATCGTTACAACAAAGTTTTCGAAAGTGATACAGACGACATACCACACAGTAAGAAAGCTGCAGACATAAGTTATATAAATGATGGTCTGACATAAGACCTCTTGGTGAAATAACTGAACTTTGACGATCTCTAGCCACACGAAGAAATTTGAAAGGCAGAACACAAAACTGGTACAAGACAAGGCCGTCAGATAAACGTTTGACGAAGCATTCCTCAAAGGTTTCGAACAGAAAACAAACACGGATATAAAATTTCCGAGAAAGCCAAGAACACAAAGAATAGGTTGCACATACATATACATATACACGGTAAATAAATATAAATCAGAGGATGAATTAAATGTCGATTCGTTGCCTTTGCTTTGTTGCGTTAAGTTCAAGTAGTTAATCAACTTTGTACCAAAATCATCCTCAGGAACTGTATTCGCCATTCTTTTGCTTTGATGGTCTTTTATTGAATGTGTACTCATTAGTGCCGATAAAATTGGCCAGAGCTGGACTTCAGTGACGCTGTCCTTCTGCAAGGATTCAGTATTCCGGTTAATGGGAACTCTTTGGTTTATAGCTGGATACCACCATACATCGATTTTGCTCGCCAGAGAAGCTGTAATTACACTGCAAAAATACCAGAAGAAAAAGGTTAAGTAGAATTAATTCCATTATCGACGAATACATTCAGAGAATTAAGTATTTACTTTGCAGCCTGTACACTATAAAATAAGATTAGAAACACGTCTTACTGATTTATACTGACCAAACTGAAGATAAAAAAATAAGTATCGGGACAAGCATCCATCATGTCTTTTTGCAAACATGTTTCTTCCATGACATTTCTCAAAAATATTTGGAATAGCAATTGTGATTGATACCATAATCGTTTTTCCTACCTTGATTTTTCCTTTTCTTCGTTTTTTTATTATTCAATTTTATTTAAATTAAATTCTACTCTTTTGAAATGTCAGAATAACAAAAGTTAAAATGGAAGAGAGAAAAGTAAAAAAAAAAATTGATCAGGATCAAAAGTTGCTCAAAGGAAATCATATCCATTGAAGTGAAAATGTATCATTTAAGTTTTTTCTAGCAGTAATAAATTGATATATTATGTACAATAGAAGGATGAATTTGGACAGACACATTATATCTACATGTAAAAAACTTAATGAAGCAGTCGCCATAAAACTCTGAAGACATGAGACACTTTTAATCTCAGTCGCATTTTTCCATAGGAATAAATAGTAGAAAAGGGAGACAGATCAAAAGTGAGATAGTCTAAGTTTTATTGCCCCCAGGCCTGGTAAGTGATATTGACGATTAAAAAGATAATTGAAATGATGCTTTCTTGAAAATTAGGTTAACATTTCTTGTAAAATATCCAGTTGAAATATGAAGTAGATGTTTCAGATGTGCTATGTTTCAATTAAAACCTACTGGGCTATATTGTGTCGACATACGACAAACGAACGGCGTTACTATTCTTAATTGATTATACGTCTTCGATATATCTAAATGTCAAGTTGAAGGCCACAAGTGAATGAAATATATGAAGATAGCGAACAGTTTTCGAGATCAAAAGTCCAAAATTCGAGCAGATCAAACGAGGACCTCTAAAACATTAGAGGTGGGATTTAAATTCTCTTCCAAAAAAAGAGAGAAAATCGGATCAAAATTAGAATTGTCATCTTGAAATAATAAAAAAGAATATATTAAATTGAAAATTATTGCATCTGTTTTCCCTTTACAATGTACATTAAGCTTAAAATATTTTGTTAAAGAATATAGATGTATTCTTTTTTTCAGAATTTTATTTAACTCTTAAGACTTGTCAGTGACATTTTTGTGTAGTAATTTGTTGCAATTTCTTTTTTAAAAAAAAAGCATTTTGTTGTAAAAGAATAATTTTTGCTTCAAGATAATAAATTGTGGCAGACATTGTCATTACTGTGACACAAGTAACAAGTATAGAATTGAATTGTTGGAAAAGTAATGGGGAAAATTGCTGCAACAAACATTTTATCCATAAAAAAAATCCATTAATCATACCATTTAATAGGAAAAAAATTATGCAAAAAACCTTTTTAGTTCATATTTATCATTATACTAATCATGATCATGTTATCTAGTGATATATTTGTCAAATATTTTCGTATAAAATGTGTATCTCATGATATAGACTAAATGCTAGGCAATGGGATATAATATCAATCATTTACCAAAGCGACCGTAATTTGACAGAACGTTGTGCTTGTATAAAATCATCGTGCATCATAAAAAATGGCAAGATCAATATTTTCATGACAAGACTTTAAATTTCATGATGTGAATTAATGTGCGTCAAATTTAATGCTCTACTGGCATTGACACGAATATGTCATTCCTAAATTCTCTACAGCAGTGATTTTTATTGTTCAAAATGGGGGAATAAATTGCATTCTTTCTCAATGCGGAAGTTCCATGTGCGAAAATAACCTGTGGTTTGAATTATTTCCTGGCGGTTCAAAGTGTCTTAATATTAAATTTATAAACTATAATCAGGCTATCACAATTGTTTGGCGTTCAAGACTTTTAAATCTCCGTCAATAAGAAAATATCATGTTATGACACGTTAATTTTGGCATTGAATATTCGTTCATTTGAAATAAAAATTATATTGCTAGATTGACTGTTTTTGTAACAAATAAAACGTTTGATCTTTAAAACAAGAAATTTTTAAATATTCTTAACTCGTCTGCGAATAAAAAAGGTAATGATAAACCCTCTGAAAACGGGTTACATTTTTGAAAATCAATCAAACGTGTTAAGCATAATACATCCACATGTGAATAGACTTACACTAATTGGATAATATACGTATTAGATACAGGTATATAATGATTTTTTGTATATGATTACATGTACTTGCTTAAAATGTTAAAGGTAGACTTTCTTTCTTTATATATATATATATTTTTTGACCATTGTAGATTATAGGAATGTGTCGTTCTTTCTTAGTAAAAAGATCTCATTCAAAATATATTCTAGAGGTAGTGAATCAGATGTGCATAATAAAAAAAATTCCAAGGAACTTTTGAAACATTTGAAATCGCAAACGTTCAACAAACGACTGTAAAATTTATGGCATATCTTAGAAATCCCATTGAAGAAGCGTATATTAATTTGTACATTGTTTATTGATAAATGACGTCCTATAAATTCAATCAATGATTGGATTGATCGTTTTAGTGATGGAAGGCAGATGGGTTAAAAATGATACTTGTTATATTGCCCAGTGAAAGCAAGTTTGAAAAGACATGTGTTTTTAATTAAGCAATTTGCTACCAAAGACTTCCAATTTACACTTTGAAAAATAGTTGAATATTTCAACAATAATATAATTATCAAATACCTAAGATATCATTTACTTTTGATTTTAAACATATTAGATATGATAAAAAGGAGACACCCATTCTCTATCCACCTTGAATAAAAGTCTCTCCCGAGACAGAAGATTTGTGTTTTGATGGTCACCATGATTATATTTGGAAAGGATATTCCTATCCATCCATTCTGTTGCCGAGATTTGACCATTTTTGACAAATTAACTCTTCTTGATATAAAAATTAACTTACATGGAAAGAAATAAAAAACTCAGAAAAATATTTCACCTTTCTTGACAGAACGCTACGGAGGGGGTCACGTGACCGCTTATATCATGTGAATTGCGCATGAGAAGAACGGTGACAGATGTGCATTAAAATCGGAGAGGACCAATTTAAAATATTATCAACACTGAAACCAAATATTGTTTCTTTGATGCACGTTATTCAATTAGTTTGCGAACTTTTTTAATCACCCCTCGTAAGCAGACTTATTTTTGTTTTCAAATGAAGCATTATTTATTCAGTTTATTCAAAAACTTCTACATGAGAGGAAGAAACACTTGGTTTTGGCTTCAAGTTAACATTTAGGTATATTGACGACGTATTATCAATTAACAACAGTTACTCCCATTCGTATGTCGACACGATATACCCCATTAAGAATATCATCTGAAATTTATTCAATCCTCATTCTATATGCATTGAATAATGTAGATTCTTTTCTTTGGTAAACATTTATAACAAATGAGTCTTTTGCAAGACAATGTAATATATCTAAACAATGTATAAAAGTAGGCCTTAGTTGAGTTTATTGCTACTTTTATAAAAAAAAAAAATTTAAATTCGATGGAAATTAGTGAGATTTGTGAAATCCATATCTTCTTAAGGTGTGCTTTAAAATATTTGTAATAGAACGTTCTAATCAAATTATTTGTAAATAACAAAATGTTACAAACTATCAAATATGATTAATTAAAAAAACTACTTTTCTGAAGTTTAATTAAAAAAAGTAGACGTTGTAGAAAAAAAAATCTTTAATTCGATGGACCCCTCTCCAATTAACACATTCTATTTTCTTTAAAAGATTTTCCAATAAAAAAAAAACTACATTTCCACAGAGGGCCCCCTTTCTCATCTAATTAACACATTTTTTGTCGTCTTTATTAAACCCTTTGCTTCTTCTCTCAATCAGCTCTGCTAGTGAAAAAAAATCTATACAAAATTTCGGCCTCGTCAATTTACTTCTTAATCAAAGTTTACTCTTTGTAACAGAATCAGCACTGATTATGAGATAGACATAGTTAACTAAAAGAAAATGGGAACTGAATCCTTTATTTATACAAACCATTCGGCAATTATATTTTGACGCCTTCTTGACCAATGACAGTAATAAAGTTTAAGTATGGTTTGCAAAGAAAACGAAACCCTTCAAAAGTCGATATATTTTTTTTCAATATAACCTCCAGTGTCCCGATACTAATTAATTAGAAAAAGTTACCAGTTCACAACGGTCAACATCCTTGTAAAAGTCCTAGCAAAATTAAGCTTTTTTTATTCTCCTGGCCAGTAAATAAGAGATATATTTATGTAGAGAGCATCTCATTTCCGTCAAAAGTAATTACAGTGTAAACAAATTATTGTATTTGCACTATTGCTGATTTTGAAAAAAAAAAGTTTTGCATGCTACATGTAATTTAATGCTAGTAATCTAGTTTCCCTTATTTATTCTAATTATTACAATGGTACATCCTTTCTGTCTCAAAACTAGTTGAATCCAAAGCTACTTCTGTTATTGAAAGTAGATAACTGAATTTAATTGGAAAGAAATCGAAAACAAAAAAGAAAATGCTTAATTAGAAACCTTTTTTGTGTCTCGAAGTAAACTATCTTACCTGACGATAAACAAGCTGTTTTTCATTCTTATTTTAAAAATAATTGTCGATTTTATTTTCTAAATAACTCAATACTCTAAATTATGCAATATAAAGTAGATCAAATGTATTTATTGAAGTTATCACAACAAGTGTATCAATTGAACACGTGATTATGTCGTGTATATGAAGAGTGTCGGTCTGATTGGTTAAAGTATTTATAGAATACCTGTTCTCAAGTATTCTGTCAAAGCACGCACGCTTCAGCGTATGTAAAAGCTAAGGCTCTTTCTCAATGCAGTCAGACGTTTCCCCGCGCACCCACCCTCATAAGTATCATCTTTGTTTTTATTAATTATATGTTTTTATATTGTAAATTGTATGAGTT